GTATGTAATCAGCATGCACTTCACTTCACGTGCCCTTCCTTTATAAACATGTCATTGTCGTAGAACTGCTATAAAAAAAGCTGTGTGGACACAAACCAGCGGAATCTGGTGACCCTGCTTGTGGGCAACTGTAAACAAAATGTCTCGTGGGCCACACCTAGAACCCCGATGGGCGCAGATTGCCGGCCCCAGTCCTAACTGGATTGTAATGTTTGTCAGGAGGTTTTCTATCCATTTGTAGAAGCTAAGCTCCCTCTGCTGGCAACCAAGAAATCAAACCTCTTTAGCAGCTGGACATGCTAGGCATGGGAAGTAGAGGTATGTGGGGTGTGCGGGATGCTGCAGCACCCCCAGATTTTGCTCCCAATTTCCCCATACCTGTGGGCTGTCTCTGCTGCTGGCTTCACCATCCTGGGTCTCAGCCTCTGGACGGCCCCCACAAGATTCTGCTGGCTCCACTGGCTTCACTGCAGCCCGCTAGTCTCACAGGCTCTGCTGGCCCTTGGGGCCCTATCATCTGTTGCCCCTGCCCCTGCAGGGTCCGCAGTCCAAATGCCCTGCCAGCTCTGGGGTCTAGGCCATCAGACTTGGGGGTTTCATTGATGCCTGGGGTCCTGACGCTAGCCTGGGGCTGTATTCCTAGTGCCAATCCAGAGCTCAGTAGTCAAACCCCCGTTGTGGCTGCATCCTGGGGGTGGTGCTGGGCTAGAATTGCCAATGCTCCCAGACCACATGGACTGGATGCTATTGGCACGCATGGCATCTAATTTGGTCTGGTCCAGGAGTTGGCAACTAGTGGAGGGGCATGAAACAGGTGTAAGGGAGGGTGCATAACTCAGCATCCCCACCCTAAAAATTGTTCCAGCACCACTGTTTGACAGTGGGGGAAATTAAATCAATTTTTTAAACAGGACAGATAAGAGCTGGGCTTCTGCCTTTGTAAATTTCTGCAGAAATGCTTCCCTTTACAGAGAAGGGCAATAATAACTGCCAAGAAGTTACTTTTTCCAAGAAAATATCAGCAAAGCCAGAGACCTAGATACCACTCCTCACCCTGCCACTGATTTGCTGAGTGACCTTGGGCAAGTCACTTCATCTCTCTGCGCTTCCGTCTCCCCTTTAGCTGTCTTGTCTATTTAGAACAAAAGACTTTTGTGTTTGCACAGCGCCTAGAAGGACGGGGCTCTGATATCCAGTGGAGGTCTCTAAGCGCTATTGTAATACAAAGTAATACATGCATAATGCATAATCAAATGATGTTTTTAGAAAATAAGCATATAGGTCAAGCAGTGGAACCATTTCTCTCTTTCTGTGCGACTGAAGCCACAGTCAGTGTGTGTGAGTGTGTGTGTGTGGGGGGGAAGGGCAGTCAGAAGATTCTTGTGCAAGAAAGCCCTATGGTTAAAATGGCCATCAGAGCTTTCTTGTGGAAGAGAGCATCTACCCTGGCATGGATTCTCTTGCGCAAAAGCACATGCCAGTGTAGACACTCTCTTGTGGAAGAGTTTTTGCACAAGAACTCTTCTGCAAAAGAGTTCTTGTGCAAGAAGCTGCCAGTGTAGACATAGCCTTCATATTCTGTCCCCCTACTTCCCTCACCCACAGGCTGCTTCCATCTTCTTGTAATGCTACAGAATAGCAGACTCATACCTTGATCCTCTGGTTTGCAACAAAAGCAAGCCCTGAAGATGACTGAGGATTCACAGCAAGGATCTATGCAGACTTGGTGCAGCTGGGTACTCAGCCATGATTATTGTTATTATTTCTGTAGCACTATATTAGACTCATGAAACTGTGTCTACGAGGGGTTTGGGGATGGTCCAGTGGTTAGGATATAAGCCTAAAACTTGGGAAACTATGTTTCTTCTTGCAATACTTCAAACTTCCTGTTTGACATTGGGTTGGTCGCTTAGCTCCTCTTTGCCTCTATTCCCTGTCTTGAAAATTGGAATAATAATAGCTAGCTGTTATCAAGTGCTTGAGATCAGTATATGTCAAAGCACATTACAAAGGAAAAACAATGGAGAGTCCTGTGGTAAATTAGGGTATGTCTACACTACCCCCCTAGTTTGAACTAGGGGGGGTTAATGTAGTCATACGGAGTTGCAAATGAAGCCCGGGATTTGAACTTCCTGGGCTTCATTTGTATGATCCCGGCCGGCGCCATTTTTAAATGCCAGCTAGTTCGGACTGCGTGCCGTGCGGCTACACGCGGCATGAACTAGCTAGTTCGAATTAGGCTTCCTAATCCGAACTAGCTGTACGCCTCATGGAACGAGTAGGAATAAGAGCTCCTCCGGAAAAGGGCTTTTTTCCGGAGGATCGGGGCCAGTGTAGACGCTCTTTTCCGGCTTTTCTAAAAGCCGGAAAAAAGCGGCGGACATTTTTATTTAAATGCCGCGGGGGATATTTAAATCCCCCGCGGATTTCCCTATCACGAAGTGTCAAATTAGCATGCCCCTTTTGGAAAAGGGGCCAGTGTAGACGCAGCCCTTAGGTTTAAGTGATTAAAGTGGTTTGTTTAACTATAATGAAATGCAAAGTAGTAAAGAACAAAAGTATAATAGTCAATTTCTGATTCTCATCCAACAGCTAACACTACAATGTTTGCATTGTGATACTGTCAGGGCAGGCTTATTTTAAAAGCAGCTGCGCTTCTTCAATCTATGGTAATGTTGTAACATTTCCATGAGATCTAACGTGATGTTTAACTGGTTAACCAATTAAAGTGGGGGGATCTAGCGCAGCCAGAGCAGCTCATCCACGGTGGGCCTTGAGGAGTTTCCTGGAGCAGCCCTTTAACATCCCTATACTATACACTGAAATATAAATACAGTATTCATATTCCAAATAATTTATTTTATAATATTGATTACATAATTACTGAAATATAGGGTAAAAATGTGTGCTGTCACTTTTTTTGTATTTTTATGTTTTATGTTAAATAAGGACAAATGCACAGTGCTTCACTTAGGAAGGAACAATCAGTTTCGCACATACAGAATGGGAAGCGACTGTCTAGGAAGGAGTACAGCAGAAAGGGATCTCGGGGTTATAGTGGATCACAAGCTAAATATGAGTCAATAGTGTGACACTGTTGCAAAAAAAAGCAAACCTGATTCTAGGATGTATTAACAGGTGTGTTGTGAGCAAGACACGAGAAATCATTCTTCCGCTCTACTCTGCGTTGATTAGGCCTCATTTGGAGCATTGTCTCAAGTTCTGGGCACCACATTTCAAGAAAGATGTGGAGAAATTGGAGAAGGTTCAGAGAAGAGTAACAAGAATGATTAAAGGGCTAGAGAACATGACCTATGAAGGAAGAATGAAAGAATTGGGTTTGTTTAGTTTGGAAAAGAGAAGATTGAGAGGGGACACAATAGCGGTTTTCAGGTATCTAAAAGGGTGTCACAAGGAGGGAGAAAAATTGTTCTCCTTGGCCTCTGAGGATAGGACAAAAAGCAATGGGCTTAAACTGCAGCAAGGGAGGTTTAGGTTGGACATTAGGAAAAAGTTCCTAACTCTCAGGGTGGTTAAGCACTGGAATAAATGGCCTAGGCTGGTTGCGGAATCTTCATCTCTGGAGATATTTAAGAGTAGGTTAGATAAATGTCTGTCAGGGCTGGTCTAGATGAGCATTTCCCAAAGTGTGGTCCGTGGCCCAGTACTGGGCCTTAGAAGAAAAAAAATACCAATCCTTAGAAAAATTATCACGCACGATCCTATTAATTTGTGTGACGGGGTAGCGGCACCCCACACTGCTGAGCACAGTGGCGTGGCCCTCTTGGGAGAGAGCCCACCATCACAGTGTCTCTGCCAGGCATGCTCCCAGATGGCAGGGCTAGATCCAGCGGTCACTAGAACCTGGGGAGAAGGCTGGGCGCCATACACACTGACACAGAACACCTGGCGCCGGCTGCAGCTGAGGGAGCCAGCACCAGCCAATAAAGCAACTGGGATTGGGGGTGGGGCAGAACAACCCACCAGACAGGTACGGCGAGTGACACAATTTATTTGCATAGTCATCATTTGCTTAATGAATATGCAAATATCCAAATAAATGTCACCGGTCCTCCAAAAGCTTGTGAATGGGTTTACTGGTCCCTAGTATCAAAAAGATTGGGAACCACTGGTCTAGACAGTACTGGGTCCTGCCATGAGGGCAGGGGACTGGACTCGATGACCTCTCGAGGTCCCTTCCAGTCCTAGTAGTCTATGATTCTATGAATAAGTACGTAGTTTCTAAGTGAGGTGAAACTTAGGGGTACACACAGGCCTGCCAAGTGGGGGGAGTGGAACAAAGAGGACAAGTGCCCCAGGGCTGGCAATTCAGAGGGACCTGGGGCTCCCAGCTGCTGCCACTGCCACAGCAGCAAGAGCTCCAGGTCCTTTAAATCGCTGCTGGAATGCTGCATGGAGAGTTCTGGGAGGCTCTTAGGGCAGACTGGGACGGTGTGGGTGCCGTATCATGCTGTCCACCTGGCTATGAAGCGGGTGGGGGGTGGCAGCTCCAGCGCCGTGGTCCGGGCAGCACTGAAGGCTGACTGCTCAGCTCTACCTCTTCTAAGGGGTGCCCGCTCACAACTTACCCCCAGATGCTGTTGACTCCGCTGGGTACACAAGACAAATCAAAACTCCTGAAAGGGTTACTATAGTCTGGAAAGCTTAAGAGCTACTGTAGACTATACAGACTGTCAGAAAGTCTCTTAAATACCAAGTTTTCTTCCTGATTTACACCTTAGCTTTAAGTGATTAAAGTGGTTTGTTTAACTATAATGAAATGCAAAGTAGTAAAGAACAAAAGTATAATAGTCAATTTCTGATTCTCATCCAACAGCTAACACTACAATGTTTGCATTGTGATACTGTCAGGGCAGGCTTATTTTAAAAGCAGCTGCGCTTCTTCAATCTATGGTAATGTTGTAACATTTCCATGAGATCTAATTTTTATATTTTACATAATTTGGCCCTTTAAACAGCTTACAAATAAGACAGTGATAAACTGCAAAAATTCTGAACTTTATTTTTTAATTATTCAAACAATTCATAATTCCAGGTTTCTCTCTCATGCTTACACTGGTTTTCCTTGAAATGTTAGGGCTATTTCCAGGAGTTCTTTACCCAGTTTTTCCTGCTCTCCTCCCAAAGCGAACTCTGCAGACAGCTCCCTGAAGGTGACACAGACCCGGCGATGCTCTATATGCTTGCGGTATATTGCATGCTTCCACTTATACCGTGCATCTCCAAATAGTGCAATCAGGGATCTTCTAGGTAAGTGAATGTCTACAGTAACTTTTTTGTATGGAATAAATCTTGAGGAAAACAAGTAGTTAATATCCCAACTGGCTAAATTTTCACATACTGTTGTGGAAGGAAGGTGGTTTTGTTTGTGGCTCTGGGAAGCTTGAGGTGAGGCAGAGGGATTTGATTCCCCCATTGCTTGCTTGTGATTGGCAACTAACTGGAGACCATCCTCTGATTCACAAGACATGGACAGCACCGTTTTTGAGAGTAAATTTAAGCTAACCAGTCGCTCCCCCCAAAGCCACCAGTCATCAAAGTGTGGGTCAATGGCAGAACCTCTTTCTGGTAGATAGTCCAGGTTACACTGCTCAACAGGAAAGAAGTCTTCTAATGCAGAATGAGCCTTCATTCGCTGTACAATCTCCTGGCTAAAACTGGGCAAGCCAAAGAAGCCACCAGTTTTCAGCTTCTTTTTCTTAAAGTTCACTTTGGGCCCATAGTCCTGTTGAAAAGGAAAAGCAGATGATGATAAATAAAAATGTGGGTTCTGCCCTTTTAGAGAGGCACTATCCTCTGGACAAACTGGGGAGCCCTGGGCATCTTGGGTTCTGTTTCTACCTTTGCCAGTGACTTATCAGAAAATGATCTGCACCAGTAAGATAGCCCCATGAAAGTCATAATACTTTTGGATTCAAGTTTTCCTGCTTGTGCACATCAATGTGGTTTGAGATTGTTTCAATGTGCAATATCAAGCGTGATTCACTATAGCTATCACAAATGCACTCTTGAGAGAAATTAATTTCAAATACAATTATATTTGTTATTTCAGAAAGAATCAATTTAATGAAAACATTAAACCTAAAGCATGATTTTTGTTAAGTGAAGAAATAATCTTCCCCTGAAGGAAACCTATTTCTGGACTCAGACCTGCTTCCTTCAGCCAGATTGTGATAGTTTCCAGTCATCTTGATCCATCAGCTGAACCATTTTATATTCCTCATCTTGGCTTATAAATTCCTCCAGCAAGAACACTCCTGGAAATGGAAATGCCCAGCCAGCAAACTCTGAACATTCATTTCCTACAGCCAGACCTGTTGCTGGACAATAAGTGAAGTTACCTTTTTCCTGCAGAAATAAAAAAGGACACAGCAAAATAAGACCTTGCCATTGTATCTGTTGTTATAGGTTAGATACATGTTAAGAGTTGAACAGTTGTACTGTTTCTCTTCAGGGAAATGTCACTCTCCTTTTACAGCTGTATCTCTGCAACTTTCATTCTTTAACAGTAATACCTTTATAGCGCAAGCTGCCACTGGATAAAAAAACCCCAAGCTGTGCTTTCTTAAAATACAGTGTATATTTGAGGGGGTTATTGCTCCTCTTCCATCCCTCAGTGTTCCAAGTTGTAGCCAACTACACTGGGTGATGGACTTCATGCAAAACCCTCTACAAAACCAACGACACCTCTAGTGATGCTACTGGTTAGAGTAACAGAAGCCTATGCTTTAAACTGGATCCACGGTCTAGTGCACTAACCAGCAGGCTGCTCTCAAACTATTTTGCATGTCTTTCCTGCCCCTAGCTCTAGTTGAGATGTGAGCAACTGCTACTGGACTGAATGTGGTTTGGCCAACTGGAGTGCTCCAATTGTATAGCTAATGACTTTCTTGATGCCTTTGATACAGGCCTAAAGAGGGAGAGATCCAAATCAGGCTGGAATATCCTGGTCTTAACTCTTTGTCTACACTACAGCTTTTAGCAACGCAGTCCTTTTGGCACGGCCATGTTGGTAGAAGTTGGACACCGTAGCTGCTGCCTGTCAGCACACTTGCAGACAAAATACTTTCACCTCCCAAAAGCAGCGGGTGAGTGAT